GAGTGCAAGCCCATTCAGGACAAGGTCAGTGTCCCCTTCCCCGAAGCCCGATCCGTCTACCAACAGGACCTCCGTTTTGTCTGGATTGAGCTTCAGTTTATTGGCCCTCATCCAGCCCATTACCTCGGCCAGGCACCGGTTCAGTACAGCCACTGCCTCACCTGGATTGGTGGAAAACGAAAGGTAGAGCTGGGTATCATCAGCGTACTGATGATTCTGCAGCCCACACCTTCTGATGACCTCTCCCAGCAGTTTCATGTAGATATTAAACAGCAAAGGGGACAAAATGGACCCCTGCGGTACTCTATGGCATAGCTGCCTTGGCGCAGAGCCATAGCCCCCCAGCACCACCTTCTGGAAACGGTCATTGAGATAAGAGCAGAACCACTGCAGAGCAGTGCCTCCGACCCCCAGTCCCCCTAGCCTATCCAGAAGGATACCATGGTCGATGGTATCGAAAGCCGCTGAGAGGTCCAGGAGAACCAACAGGGATGCACTCCCCCGTCTCTCTCCCTGCACAGGTCATCGTACAGGGCGACCAAGGCAGATTCAGTACCGTACCCCGGTCTGAAGCTGGACTGAAATGGGTCCAGATAATCAGTTTCCTCCAAGAGTTGCCCCGGTCAGAACCGTCTCGGCATGGAGATTGAAGTCCCCCAGGACCAACATCCTGGGAGTCTTCAACACCAGGTTCGAGATGATCTCCATCAGCTCAGGCAGAGAGTCTATTGGGCAGAAGGGTGCATGGTACACCAACAGAATCCCCAATCTGTCTCGGTCGCCCAACACCAAGTAGAGGCACTCTAGCCCCGGCCTCGAGGGGACTGGAAGCCCCGTGAGGGAGATGGAGGCTCGGTAAACCAAAGCAAACCCTCCTCCGCTCCCAGGCGTGGATGGTGCTGAACTAGATACTCGGGCGGGCACATTTGAGAGAGGGAGACATCCCCACCCTCTCCCGCCCACGTCTCTGTTATGCAAGCCAGGTCGGCCCCTCATCCACAATCAGGTCGTGGATGAGGGACAATTTGTTGTGGACCGACCTGGCATTAAGCAGCAGCACCGTCAGGCCTGAGGGGCGGTTGACAAGACTACCTGGAACCCTCTGGCTGGGAGTAGAACCAGAAGGAGGGACAGGTGTCAACCACCTTTCCCTCCTTCTACGCGGACACATTAAACCCCCACCGCTGTAATGTCCATTGCCCCCAACCACCCCGGTTGCAGCGCCCATGCGCTCCCCAGGTAACCCAACCGTCGACATGGCCAGGAACGACTCCGTAAAAACAAGTTAAAATACAATAAAAATGTTAAAACAATATAAAACTCCCCGTCTACACCCAGTATAAAATTTCAATATAAAATTCCACCCACCACCAAGGTCCCTCGCCAGCCCAGCCCTCGAACGGCCTCGAACAGTGGCGACCGGCCTGGAGCCTCCGGCCCCGGCCGCATCTGGCAAGTTAAGCCGGCGCCTGTCCCCACGCCCCGCCCCCAATCTGGCCTTGTTCTCACTGACGCCAGCGGGGGGAAGCAGGGCGGACGCGGGGAACTCGCCACCCGTCAAGATGGCAGCGCCCTCCTCAGCAGCGGGGCAGCGGCGGCATTCTCGGCATCCTCCGACCCCGGGATGGTCCAGAGGTGGCGTCAGCTGCCTCCCGGAGCCCGGCGGAGCGCTGCGATGTTCTCGGCGGTGGCGTGGTGGCTGCGGCAGGTGTTCCGAGGTGGAAGGGGGGCCCAGATCCGGCTCCGACTCCGGATCTCAGTTTGACTGGTGAGACAGCTCTGAATTCCCACTGACTACTAGTGGAAATCAATAAAGACTATTTTTTGCTGTTTGAGAGAATTGGATGACATTTTCATGCATGATGGCTCTTTCTGAAGGAATGAAACCTGCAACATTTCAGGCAAATGGGTACAACATTGTTGTTCCTAGGTGCCTTTAAGTCTTGATTTTTTAAGAGAAGTGCCAAAAACATGTTTAATTTATTTGCAGAACTGAATGAAGTTTGCAGGCATAGTTGATCCTTCTGGGAAGACTCTGCTGCCTTTCAAACAAATATTTGCAGGAAGGACTACAAGAGCACCTTATTCCTTGTACTCTTCCTAGGCAATTATAATGAAAATAAGAGTCCCTGAGACGTGGTGGTTAGAGTTTTGGACTATGATCCGGGAGATCTGGGTTCTGGTCCCTGCTCGGCCATAAAGCTCACTGGGTGATCTTGAGCTCTTCATTGGCTCTTGCCTAACCTGCACTACAGGGTTGTTGTGAAGATAAAATGGAGAAGGAGAGGATCATGTAAGCTGGCTTGGGTTCCTTGCAAAAGGAAAAAGACAGGTATACATGTAGTGTAATGAAAAGACATGGAACTTAGAGAAGGCCCTAGTTAAAAAGCCTGCAACATGTCAAAAGGATAGGTGCAACATTTCTGCAGAAGTGGAAACTTCCATTTTGGGGAGGGGGGGTTTATTTTCCCCTTTCTCCTGCCTGAGTTCTATGGGTGTGCTTTTGCTTTTGTTCTTGCAGTTTGTATGTCAACATGCTATGTATAAGCTCTAGGCAAGAAACTTGCACATTTTCAGAAGGATAGGTCCCGGAACATAGGAATTATGAAGAATCAAAATAGTTTAAGCCTTTTAGGGTTAAGGTTTTTTTCTGATTAGTGGTCCTCAGAGTCACAGAAGGTGCAGTGGGACATGGATGGATGATAGGTATGGAATATGCCATGGCAGAGGCAGAAAGACTTCAATATTTAGCATTTTCCAAGCCAGCACACAATGCCACACCCTCCCTGATCCAAAAGATGCGCCTGTCCTCTTTCACGTTCCTGTTCCTGGGAGAGAGAACTAGCAAAGAGCACCAAGCCAGAAACGAACACTGAGCAGCCCTCCTGTGTGTTACGTCCAGCAGCTCTTTCCCAAATACTGTGATTTGGGAGTGCTGGTAAAAATCATTCATTTTGTGCACAAGACAAGCGAGAACCACCTGCCACAAATGTGCCCCCTGTACTCTGTCTTCCTTTTTCCCCTATTTTTATTTAATGATTTAATTCCATTTCTATGCCGTCTCATACCCTAAAGATTCTCTGGGTAGCTCACAACGCTAGAACATAAAAACATACATAGATTACAATGAAACAGTTATTAATCAGATTAAAAGGTAGACTATGGAATAATAGAGCACCTAAAATAAAATATACTCACACACACCAGTAAACACAACCAACAAATTAACCAAAATTAAATTAAGATAAAACAATCCATAACAATATATAAAACTATTAAATTAAATCAAATCAACCAGAAGCTTGCTTAAATAAAAGAGTTTTCACTTAGTGCCTAAAAGAAAGAAAGAAGAGCCAGGCAGATATTCCTGGGGAGCATATTCCGGGGTCTAGGCACTGCTGCTGAGAATACCCTCCTCCTAGCCCTTTCCCCTTTGACCTCACTAGAGAGGGCACACAGGGGAGGACTTCCAAAGCGGATCTAAGTGGATGGGAAGGAATATATGGAGAAAGGCGCTCCCTCAGGTACCCTGGAACAATATGAAGAACTGAAACGAAATAGATAATTTTTGCAGACATGTTGTCCAGGGTTCTCCATCTCTCTGAAACTGAACTAGCCTACTTCAGGTCTGCCTTGCTTCAGTTCAGACAGTTGTCACACCTATCCTGATTTCGATCTGAAACACATTTCTATTAACAATACACGCTCTCTTCTTTCTAATATCTTGTGGTACAAATTTGCATGATCACTAAAGCTCATGGGTTCTGGATAGTTTATTAACCATGGTGACAACCTCTCTAGGTTCGGATGGCACCTGCCGCAAGCCACCACAGCTTGAGTGAGTGAAGGTGGGCTCTGGCCATCATGCAGCCAGCCAATTGATTCCATTTGCAGTGGCCCCAGAGATCATTCCCAGAACCGCCAGTTGAATGGCCAGGTAACGGGTAACAAGAAAACCCTGGCCAGAGACCTTGGATGACAGCTGTAGGCCAGAACAGACTAACCTTCCCCAACCTGGATGCTCAGCCAGCATGGGAATTGTGGAAGTTGTTCAATGCATCTGGCGGGGATCAGGCTGGGGAAGGCTGCAGCAGACACTACCCAGGTCTATGGGCCAGTGTGAGGGAGTTTTATTTGCTCTGTTTTCATGGTAACAAATGATGTTTCTCAGTTTGGGGTGTTTATTGTATAGGCAGTATTTGAAGCGTCTGGTCTGGTAAGTTTCCAGGAAAACAACACCACCTCATTTTGAAATTCTCAATGTTGTCGTTATTTCATACTGAGAAGAATATCCTTTACATTCCCCAAGTATGATTTGAGCTATAACAATGTGCGACTTATGAACTTATACACTTTGATTGTCTTTGTGAGTCTCAGCTCACAAAGGAGTGACTGTCACCCTCCCTGCACTAATTTCGTGACTTCTGCGAGCTTGTATACGGCAGCTTCTGTGTGGGTGTGGCTGCTGCTGGCGATAAAATGATTCACCAGGGACACATGTCCCTGTACAGATTCAGTAGCGATAACACTAACGGGAAGAAAAGTTCTTCCTGAAGTCCAAATAATGTTCTGTGATGATTGGGTTAGGTGTCATGGCGCACCTGACAGTTGTCTTCTGGGAAGGTCCTTCAGAGAAGTGTTTAGTGAAACAACAAAAAACACCTTCAGATTTGTATACTTGTTTCCTTAGGTTCCAATTTTCAAGGGATGCCTTGAAGTAATTGTAAGGAGCAACTTGATGAAAAAGTGCTGGCACGTACCTTTGTTTTCAGTTTAGAAATCTGGTTCTATAGTCCAATATATAGGAAATATATGGCCTTCCCATCAGTCCTGCTAATGAAGGCTAATGTCTTGTCTTGAATGGTACCAGTGCGAAGGAGTGCAGGATCTGTTTTTATGCATCCAAGATGCCTAATTCTCGGGGTTCCTGCAAGAATGTCGAATTCGGGCAGTGCCACCATGGAGTGCTTTCATCAGCCTGCAATTTGGTTTCTTGGCAGATTCCGACCTGAGCACGCGCACCCTCAGCACGCCCAGCCCAGCCTTGATATGTCCTGCGAACTCGCACGGCGTGCAGAATGGCCGAGGCTCTTCCACCTCCTCCTCTTCTGTCACGGGGGAGACCATCGCCATGGTCCACTCCCCTCCACCAACCCGCCTCACCCACCCCCTCATCCGGTCGGCCTCGCGGCTTCAGAAGGAGCAGGCCAGTATCAACCGGCTCACGGACCACTCCATGATCCAGATCTTCTCCTTTCTGCCCACCAACCAGCTGTGCCGCTGTGCCCGCGTATGCCGCCGCTGGTATAACCTCGCCTGGGACCCGCGGCTCTGGAGGACGATTCGCCTGACGGGCGAGACTGTCCATGTGGACCGGGCCCTGAAGGTGCTGACCCGGCGGCTTTGCCAGGACACCCCCAACGTCTGCCTCATGTTGGAGACAGTAATTGTCAGTGGCTGCAGGCGGCTCACGGACAGAGGACTCTACACCATCGCTCAGTGCTGCCCAGAACTGAGGCAGCTGGAGGTGTCGGGCTGCTACAACATCTCCAATGAGGCAGTCTTCGACGTGGTCTCGCTGTGTCCGAACCTGGAGCACTTAGATGTATCAGGTAATGCGGGGAGCGGCGAACCGCCCGCCTTTCACCTTGTGCTGGGTGTTGGGTTAAGGCATGTGAATTTCAGCCAGGAAAATACTCTCCATACTTTAAGCCAGTTCCTGTTGTTAACCATTTTTTGTCCTGTAACTGATACATGCTTCTTTTTGTTTAATACTGCTGTGCTCTTTAAAACACATACAGACATACATTCACGTGGCCGTCGCCGGTGCTGCTCTCTCCGCCTAACCTTGCACTTGGCTTTTCTGTGCTGGCCTTTGTTTCTTTCGAATTAAGTTTGCACTCTGCAGGGCTAGATTTGGATCCAGGACTCCCTTCCACAAGGGAACGGGGGCTGGTCAGGGAAGGTCTTTTTGCCTGATTTCGGGGATCTCCCCACCCACACGCCACAGCTCACCCCATTCAGCAGGGTCTCCCGGAGGGGCTGCCACAGGGAGGAGAGGCAGGAAAATCCACTTCCACCAGCACAGATGATCCAGTGTCAATCTGGTTCCAGCCCCTCAAAATTACGTCAAGGATTCAGAACTACAAAGAATCTCATGGCACATTAAAGGCTGATAATTGTAGTGCAGCCTGAGTGTTCCCAACTAGGACCGACTTCATCGGAGGCACGAAGCATTATCCCTGCTTGGCAAAGATATGCTTGGCCTGTATTTAAAGAGACTTGTCCAGCCTTGGTTGGAGATGGCTTACAGTAAGGAGCCAGGCCTTCCTCAGCCAGGACTTATCACTGGGACTGTTTGAGCTGCAGCAGCTGTGAGGAAACAGGTGAGTTTGTTATCCAGCCCCAGGCCCTGCCAGAGACTGCATCCAGCCACCATAAGCTGCCTCATGGCTCTTGGTCGCTCTCATGGCAACAGTCTTAAAGCAGCCACTCCTCTGGACTTCGCTCTCAAATATTCCCAGATCTACTCTTAATGGTGTGAACAACACTGCCCTCTGCTGGGTAGAATGTCCAAACTGGGAAATGTGTGCATCTTCGGAATTACTCTTAATGCTGTTTGGCAGGCCCATCTCAGTTGTCTGCTCTGAGCCCCACTGATTGCCACATTGCAGGGTTGGGAAAGTAAAGAGATGTGCAGCAGCGTGTGTGCGACTGATCCTCAGACCAGCAGTTTCTCAAGACTATTTACTTGATGGTCCAGGGAAAAGCAAATAGATGCAGACAAAAGCCAGTTGGAATGAATTGCAGGTATTAGCTACTTGTAGCCAAAGAAATTATTTGGAGAAGGAGAGAGGCAGAAGAAACAGGCACACTTGTCGTAGAGCCTGCAAGAACATACGCTCCTCTTCCGGGTTGTAAAGCTGAACAGGTATGAGAACTCTGCTGAAGGAGCGGATCCGAAAGCTGTGCAGAAAGAGCTTTTTGGTGAGTGAATATTAGATAAGCAAAGGAACAAGACAGGCAGGAGAAGCTGAGTTCAGAAATGTTGGGGCTTGTTGAAGGAGGTCGTTGAATATGCGTGGGTGTTTCCCCAGTTACGGCATGAGTGGACTGCGCTTGTGTGCTCACCTGTGTGCCATGGGTGCATGTGCCCTGGGTAGTTTGTACTTTGGAACCAGTCCTTGTCCATTCTCTGAGCTTGCTCCGGTGCTCTTGATGTATGATACAATGCAGAGTTTCTTTTAAAAATGGGGATTTATTGATACAGGAGCCTGGCCTTTAGAAAGTTTTCCTAGGCTTAGTTTGAGTCACAGTTTTGGTCTGCAAGCCCACTCTTGCTGCCCTTCAGTAATGCATCCTAGAAATAACTCCTCCCTACGAAAATGAGACAGATGCAAGCAGTCAGCTTTTTATTGTACAATTCTCTTTCACCCTTTTTAACCATGACTTTGTCCTGGGAAGGCTTCCCATATATGTGAACAACCTGCAAGCCATTATCTCTTGGGCTGGCCAATATTCTTTCAGCTGACATGAGACTTTCTCCTTCCATTTCAAATCCCTTACATTTACTCTGTGGAAAAATCTTGCGATGGGTCTGCCCATTTTACATCATTATTTGGGAGAGCAAAAATGGCTGCAGCCACAGAAAAACATCATTCCACTTTTAACCCCCGACAGAAATCCTTTTTATAAAACGGTGGTGGGCGTGTGCCTGACTCTCCAGTTAGGGACAAGGACTCCCCTAATAGATGCTGTTCTGCCCAGAGACCAGCAGGGCATGAATCAGGCCCTCCTTCTAGCCCTCTGCTGTTGCCCCAGGGGCCCAGTTCCCATGCTTTGGGCCATCCAACCTGAGCAGAGGCCTTTAGGCCAAAAGCTCTTGGGCCCTTTGCGGCCCTCAGGTCTTGTGGTGCACTATGAGGAGAAGAGAGAGGCTAACAGACAGGTGTGTGTGCAAGCCTGGAGACCAGTGATGGAGGACAGCAGGTGGAGCAGCGTGGGGTCCTTCAGAGAGGCACCAGAGTCACCACCCTCAGCGGCTGAGCCTTCCCGTTTGCTGGTCCACCAGCCTGCCTCCTGGTCTGTCTCGTGTTTTCCTGGAGATGGTGGCGGCAGCTGGATTGCAGATGCCTGACAAGTTGGCGATGATGCCTTGAGGTGGTGGATAGGAGGCCAAGTAGTAGAGAGAACGGGAAGGGGGGGGGGGAAGAAGAGGGAAGGGGGAGATTGAAAAAGAGGGGGATCAAAGGGTGAAGAAAGAGGATGGTGTGCATGTGTGTGGAGGGTATACATCTTTTGTGAGATTTCTGGGAGGGAAATGGAATGGGCTGCTTCAGGGTGGATGAGAGAAGCTGGAGTCCCTCTGGCCCCATCTGCTGCCCTGGAATACTTGCCTGAGAGTGAATCGTTGCTCCTTACTGGCATTGTTGCTCCAAGCAGGTGGATCAGGCCTCTCCCCCTTAATGAACCAGTTCAGGTATTGTGTGTAGTCCAAAGAGGACCAAATTTGGTATTCTAGGAGGACAGTGTTTTGGCATCCGAATGGTCAGAGCCCTGACAAACGTTCAGTATCCATAGTCAAGCTGGGGCCTCTTTTTCTAATAGCTGAAAGAACTCCTTTTCTTCTCAAGCTGCCAAAATGCTGCCCAGTATTTTCTCCCTGACTTGATTCGAATATGTGGTCCAGGGCCACAGAAAATGCCATGCAAGGTGGCTCTGGCTCACAAGCCAGCTTCGCCATCCCTGGCTTCAGCCGTCAGAGTCATGGCAGTGTCCTGCTGGCCCAGGGCTACGTGGTGGAGCCCTCCTGAGAAGGGAAGGTCTGATGCCACGAAAATCATTTTCATGGAGGGCACATGGACAGCCTGGCAGAGCCACAACTGGCTGCTAACTGATTCCTCTCTTACCCACCCACCACCAATTTAGGTTGCTCCAAAGTGACCTGCATCAGCCTAACCCGTGAAGCATCCATCAAATTATCTCCGTTGCATGGCAAACAGATCTCTATCCGCTACCTGGACATGAGTGACTGCTTCGTCCTTGAGGATGAAGGACTGCACACCATTGCCGCCCACTGCACTCAGCTGACGCACCTCTACCTGCGCCGCTGTATCCGCATCACTGACGAGGGCCTCCGATACCTGATGATTTACTGCACGTCCATCCGCGAGCTGAGTGTGAGCGACTGCCGCTTTGTCAGTGACTTCGGCATGCGTGAGATTGCCAAGCTGGAGTCCCGCCTGCGGTACCTCAGCATCGCCCACTGTGCCCGCATCACTGATGTGGGGATCCGTTACATCACCAAGTACTGCAGCAAGTTGCGCTACCTCAACGCACGGGGCTGTGAGGGCATCACGGACCACGGAGTGGAGTACCTTGCTAAAAATTGCACAAAACTCAAGTCACTAGACATCGGGAAATGCCCACTGGTCTCTGATGTCGGCCTTGAGTTTCTGGCTCTGAATTGCTTCAACTTGAAACGGTTGAGCCTGAAGTCGTGCGAGAGCATCACTGGACAAGGCCTGCAGATCGTTGCGGCCAACTGCTTTGACCTGCAGATGCTGAATGTGCAGGACTGTGAGATCTCGGTGGAAGCACTGCGGTTTGTCAAACGCCACTGCAAGCGCTGCATAATAGAGCACACCAATCCTGCCTTTTTCTGAAGTGGCTCTTCACTCTTCCTGATGAAAGCAAGTATTAAAAATGTTTGTATGTACATGCACACAGACTATCCATCTACAGCAGCTCTGCCTTCTTTGTGCCAGAGGTGGGAAACATAAAACTTAGCATCTGCATTGGGTCCTGAAGGCACTTTTTAGTGGCCTTGCTGAAATATTAAAATGCCAGCATTTATGATTTTTTGTAAATGGTAACCCTCTAGCCTTGGTGGCAATGAGATACATTTGTGGGTGTAGAGTTCAGAAACTCAGAGGCAAGGAAATTAAGTCCTGGGTTGTCAATTGGTTCAAATGTCATGAGTCCCTGTTGTGTGAGGGTGAACAGCAGCCATGGACCATTGAATCCAATGTGAAAAGCCCCATTGCTTTCAATGGAACTGAGGACTACCCTGAGCCGAAATGGTGCCGCAAGCGTTTAGCCCAGGCTGCCTGGTGAGGGAGGCAGGAGGGCGGGAGGGATGGGCGGAGGGCAAAATGGCTGCTGGCGGTCAGGGGGGCCACGGCGGCCAGGCAGTTTGCCCTCCAGCTCTGGTGTACCAGCCGTGGTAATTATGCAGGTGACAGCAAATGAGCTGTTGGCCCAGTCTGCCTGCCCCTGCTCCTCACGCCTCTCCAGAACCCCGACGAAAGCTTTTCTCCCAGAGAGTGTCAGCGTTCCCTGTCCTTCCTGTGCAGCCGAGCATTTCATGGATACTTTGCCTTTTGGCAAATGCTTTCCCAGTTTCTGTCCGGTGAGGCACTCGGTGGCCTTAGATAGGAAGACCAATTCAGACAGATTCCCAGGCATGCAGTTGCCTCCGGCTTACAAGTGAAGGCTCAGTGGCCGAAAATGCCTCATGCAGGAAGATACAGGAAGCGAAATGCCCTGCCTTAGTTTCATTTGAAAAGGAAACTTTGGGAAGTAGGCTGCCTCCAGATGGCATTGTTAGTGTGGCCTGTTTTGGAGCAACCATCCACATGTTAAGAACCCAAACTTAATCATGAATAATTGCAGTAATCTTCACTCAGAGCATAAAGCTGTCAAAATGAAGCACTTTTAAGTCCCAGTGATGGCAGCGAGAGTGCAAAGGCTGCGCTTACATTTACTCCACTACTTCAGCGGGACTTGCGGAATAGCTCATAGCACGATTATTTACGTGGGGAATGGAATCCTTTGGACGAAAGCTCTCCCTCCCTCCCCCATATACACACTCTTTTCTTGTCGGAAACCCGGCAGCCCTCGCCAGCCTCCGTGACGGTCAGGGATTGTGTGAGTCGGAGCCCAGGAGAGGCACAGCTGAGCTTGCTGGCCAGTCCGCCGTAGCCACATCAGTGCGTGTGGAGACATGCTGGTCCATTCTTTCAATATGGCGTTGCACTTCCATGGGCTGAAACATGTAACATCTTTCCATTTTACACTATAAATCCAGTATCTTTGTCCTATGAAAGAAAGGCCAAGTGGCACAGTAGCCTCAAACTAAGTTTTTAAGGGGAAAAGACTGTATCAGCTGGCAACCATTCCATTTTTCTCTAGCCATTGAGGGGATGACTGTCTCCTACACAGAGCTTCAGGCCAGAAGTCAAATCTGGCACACTGAGATTCCCCAGAAGTTTGTGCCCCTTCTCTGGCTCTTCTCCCCGACCCCCCAGCCACTAATCATTTGATGGGTTCTTGGCTTTTATGCAATTCCCCCTCATTCTAAAATGGTTAAATGCCCTTATAGGAGATTAGTTGCTGGCAATAGCAGCATCCAGCAAAGATAAGCTGGTGTGCTGGGTGCGGCCCCTTCCTGCCCTTGGCCGTGCCCAGCCCTGGCATGTTTCACCTAAGAACTTCTCCAAAATGGAAGTCGGCCTTCAGGCAGGAAGAGGTTTTGCACCCAATTTGAAACAGTGATATCTTATCCCTGCCGGCTGTTCTCTTCACTATACTTAGCTCACAGCAAGGATATATTTAGACTTAAGACTTAGACTTTGTCTGGAAGGAAAGCTGGTTGTGAACTGAACTGTGCCTTTTGCACACATAAGGGCTGAAGCAAAGTTTACTTTTTCTTTGAAGAAAGTCTGTATCTTGCCAGCTCTGCTAAGAGGAAAAGGTTAACATTACTTGGTTCTGAAAGGGCTTTAATGTTTAGAATGCCTTGTACTGTGTGACCAACTATAAAGCCTTAATTTCTACTACCAACAAATAAAGCAATATATTGGTGTAACAACTTGATGTCGTCAATATGTAAATGCAAATGGAGAAATGTGCATATACACATTTACTTTTCTCCCTTCGGTGGTGCTTTTCATTTGCTGGTGGCTGTGTGAAATTTGCCTACATGCCTCATCACTCTTCATGTATTTTAGTCACTGCCTTTGCTCCCTACAGCTGAAGCATACAATGAAATGGTTCAGACAAGAGTTCTAATGTCAAACATCTTGTCAGTGTGCACTTCTGCATTTTTGAAAGTCCAGAAACAATAATAAAATATAATTGTGCTAAGCGCGCGCGCGCGCTCTCTCTCTCTCTCTCTCTCTCTCTCTCTCTCTCTCTCTCTATATATATATATATATATATATATATATATCACTGGTGGAGGGGCTATCACTGGCCACAGCAAAGAACTGCAAGGGCAGGAGGGTTGTCACTCTTGTTGAGTGGTGTACTAGCCACTCTCTAAAACCCACAGCAAAATTGCTGTCCTGGGTTTTTTTATTTATTTTATTTATTAAAACATTTTTATGCCGCCCCATTCGCTGAAGCCTCGGGGCAGCTTACAACAATAAGTTAAAAATAAATAACATTAAGAATATAAATATTAAAATTAAAAATACAAAGATAACAATATAAAATAAGCCGCCCTGGCCAGATAAAATCCAATAATATTAACAATTAAAATGCCGCTTAAATAAAAAGGTCTTCGCCTGGCGCCGAAAAACAAATAACGAGGGCGCCAAGTGGACCTCTCTGGGGAGCGCATTCCATAACTTATGCGCCACCGCAGAGAAAGGGTTTGGATGCACAGCCACTTATTGTGGGTCAAACAACCACTAGGAAATGCCATGGGCTTTTAGGGTAGTTTGCTGCCCCCAAATAAACCACCTAGTGGGAAGCACGGTGGGTTCAGACAACATGAGAACCCACCACAGCTGGTTGCGTAGGATGGGCTGCCATGTCATGAGAACCCAGTCCTTGTGTGTGGACGCAGCCAGAGGGTGCCGGCTCAACGGGGCACAGCGAGGCTCGGCAGTTTGTGGAAAGACCTGTCCCACATGTGCAGCCACTGGCCGTCAGGTTCTGCCCTGCCTGCCCATGGTCCTCCCACAGCAGAGCTGTCAGGAGCTATATTTTCAAAAGTTGCTCTTACTGGTAAACATTTTTGGGCTACAAAATGTGAGACTGTACACAAAAGACTCTTTTCAAATCTAAGGTGCAACATTTCTTGGTCTTCTTTTCAGAAGGCTCTGTGATGCCCCTAAACTGCTTTTAGTTGAACAACTCACACAATACGATTTTAAGTACACTTAGCAGAGAACAAATGCCTTATATGCTATTCCCACTTACCTGGAAGTAAGGCCAATTGGACTCTATGGGATTTCCTTCTGAGCAAACATTCTTAGGTTTGCACTGTATGATACTAAAATAGTGGAATATTTTCTCTAAAGAGAGAAGCATGTTGATTTCAGCACAAAAATGTTCATCTTTATTACTTAATTCAGTCATCATACGGTTGAAATGAAAAAAGTGTGAAGTAACCTGGATGGATTTCTGTCTTGAGTAGGTGAAAGCTGCATTAGTTTCTGTACTTAGAACAACTCACTGGACTCAAAATTACTTAATTCTAAATGTATTTCTCCTGCAGCAGTTTCAGATTGATGGATCTTGGAGTTTTTAGGGAAAAACAAGTAAATTTCATAAGCCTGAAGTCTGCTGTCTCTTGCCATAGGTAACCAATATATGTTAAACATTTTTTTAGCTGAAATATACCCCCAACCTACTGAAAACCAAGGCAGTTTCCACCATTTTCTGAACAATATGGAAAGCCACTGGCCAAAAATGGGTAAAACCATAAATGTACCTAGATATTTGTCCAAAAGAATTTGCAAGAGCTAGGGCATCAAATGCTTATCTAAATAAAGATGGCAAATGCATTTTTTAAAAATAGTCAAAGCCTGCAATACTGTGTACAATTATCTATAAATTAGACCCATAGAAAACCATGGGGTTTAAGTCAAAGTAAACATACTTTGACCTAAATCCTGCTGAAATCCTGCTGAAATAGTACCATTGGTAAGTGCTGGTTTACTCCATTTTTAAAAAATAAATGTGAAAGAATATTGTAAGTGGAACATTTTTCTTTCTATGATCACAAATGTGCTTCAAGAGGACTAAATCAGGAGCTGCTGTGCTAAACAACACATAAAGACTGCCAGAACTGGTGTAGCAGAGAGGCAGCAGTCCTTGGCATGGTTCTTTGCATGGGCTGGCAATAGGATGCCAGAGGTTAAGGAGTGCCCGACGGGCACCTTCCTTCACAGCAAACCTGGTTACTCTGGCACTTTCTTGAGCCAGAACTCCCTCTAAAGGAAACTGTTAAATTCCCTTATACTGTACTAGACTCCTGCCAACCTTGCAGCTCGAAAGGCTTCGGCGAATGGGGCGGCATAAAAATGTTTTAATAAATAAATAATAAATAAATAAATAAAATGCAAGTAGATAAAAAGGTACCACTCCGGTGGGCAGGTAACAGCGTTCCGTGCACTTCGGTGTTCAGTCATGCCGGCCACATGACCACGGAGACTGTCTGCGGACAAGCGCTGGCTCCCTCGGCCAGGAAACAGAGATGAGCACCGCCCCCTAGAGCCAGGCATGACTGGACTGAATGTCAAGGGGGAACCTTTACTGTACTAGACATCCTCTTTGGTTACTTGGCTGAAACCCAATCACTAATGAGCACATCTTAGGATTTTGGCTGCCAATAGTAAAGGGAGATCCTAGACCAGCATTGCCCTCCCCCTGACCAGGGATGATGGGAGCTGTCATCCCAAGTATGGGGGCACTAAGTTGGATGAGGCTGCCAACTGAGAACTCATCCTTGTTGCCATCAGCATATGTATTGCTTTGTGGAACCTATTCGAGGCCATTGGATGCAAAGCAAGTTGGCCCTGTCTCAAAAGGGTACATAACTTAAATTGCACAAGGAATATGAATGACGCCTACTCTGACACTGCTGAAGTTGGTCTGGTCCCACCAGCTGTGCAAGAGACTAGCAGTAAAAGTTGCTTGGATTCTACAGTACAATCCTATCTACTCAGAAGTGTGTCCCACTGACTCATGTGAGTCGTACTCCCAGGGAAATGGCATTGGATTGCATCCTTAACTCATGACCTAGTACTTCAGTGTAATGGTTCATAAAATCAGGTAACACTGCAATGAGTAGAAACCTTACCAGAAAGTTACTACTGGAAATTAGCTATTTGTGGTGCCTGTGAGTAGTTCTTGGAAAGCTTACAAATTCCCTCATCAACAGAAACTGCCCCAGGAAAAGTCTGTTTATAAAAAGGGAGAAGGATGTTCCTTGCTAATTTGAGAAGATAGTGCTGAGGGGCTTTTCTCCCACATAAATGCTTTTCCTTTGCAAGACTCCCACTATGGCCCAAGTAATTAAATGTTTCTGCTTCTTTCAATCATGTGCAGTAATTGTTAAGAGGTTAATTAAATCTGAATTACATGACACTACATTGTTCCCATTGGTGTAATGAAGCAGGAAAAATGAATCAATAACTGGAATTACAAACTGTCTCTGAAGGAAGCAACTAATACAGGAAGCCTTCCTTTCCTGGCAAGGACATTGATGTTCTGATTAATTTGCTGTTGCACTTATCTCAGGAGAAGCATTAGCGGCATTGCACCTCCAAAAACTGGCCAGTTGAATTAAGCCCTTTATCAAAAAGATGTCATGGTGGCCAGTATACTTGAAACATCCGTTTTTGCTGAATGAAGGGTAGTGTAAGATATCTGACCCCCTGCAAAATAGATAATAATGAAGCCCTCCATTGGCTGGGCAAGATGGGTGCTCCAGTTCACTGTTCCATTCTTGGTTAGGGACCTGTATCACATTTATTCACCCTTTAAAATATTTGCAGACATGAATTTTAGGCCAGCCTCAGTTAGTACTTCCAATAACACAGGCAGCTCTGAAGCTGCAGCATCAAACCTGGACTCTGACAAGTGTTTCAGTTGCCATGCATTTATCAATTTTAATCCATTTTTTAAAAGGTGCAGTCTTGCTCAAATGCACATGATCACAAGTTATGGTGCAGAGGCATATGCCCCTCTTGTAATTATCCTTGTCAGCCCTCTCCATGCCCTGGTTCATTCAGTCCAGCAGGGCCACATTCCTGACTTGTTGGAGTTCTTGTCAATCCCATTCTCCACAGGAAGAGGAAGTGGCACTTGAAGCACTTTCAAAGCACACATACCAAATAAGGCTTTCCTGGGCTAAAGGGAGATGTGTGAGGATGACACTGCAAGGAAATTTACAAGGAGGAAAATGCCTTTGCAGAGCTAACTAGCAGTCCTGCCACCACGTGCGCTTGCACTATATTGCCATTTTTTAAAAAATAGCAACCCCAATTATACAGGTTTCAAGATCCAAAAGTAAATTTGCCACCATGCAAAAATGAAAAAGAAAACCGGAATCTGCTTATTGGCCCCACTCACTACTGTAGCAGGAGACAGAATGAAATCTGCCAAGGTCAAACCAGACAAAGTCATCAAGTTTTAATGCCCAAACAGAATTCTCATGCTTGCCTATTCATACTAAAAGCCCTTGCTCCCCAGAGAGTGATAGAGCATGCACAGAATGTGGGTGTTTCTCTGCAGCTGGATGCATACTGCTCTGCATGGTGCCACTTGTCTGGGCCCCTGCTGCCTGCCTGCAGCTGAAGGAGATGCATCCCTGCCCTGAAGACCAGGGAGTGTGCACAGCCGGAGCTGCCCAGGAGCCTCCAGACAACCTCTCTCCAATTTTGTTTGCTTCAATTGTATCCCTGAGGAACCCTGAGGTTTCTCTCCCAGTCTTTTATATGCTAAGCCATTTAAATCAATGGCTGGTCATTCAGCACAATCACAACAGGAAAAAAGCGCTAAATTACTTGATTTAGCATTCTCTCCTTGGGAAGTGCCACCGGGGGAGAGGAGAGGAAGGGGAAGAAG